ACCCAGGCAGTTCCCGTTACGGCGGGCCCAGGGAATCTGTTACAGCTCAACCCCGGTTCCTGTTACAGACCTGGCCTTTGTTCCTGTTACATGTCCCTGTTACGTACAAATAGTTCCTGTTACTTCCAATCCTCGCATTTGAATCCTCAAGCCCTAAACCCTAGAAACCCCAAACCGCATGAGCCCTAAACCCAATAAACCCTAAACCCTTGACCGCTATTTGGATCCCCGGGGCTCTGGGTTGAGGACTTTGGGGCCTTCGAGGTGAGGGTTTGGATGGGTGTGGACCAGGTCTCCTGTAAGATTTCTTAGGACTTCCTTGCTTTGGTAGCGGTTGGCTGGAAGGTTTGGGGAGGCCTTGCTTTGTAGAGGCATTTTGTGAGAATCGTCTAAACATCAGTGCTCTGAGTTTTTGGGGTTAAGGCTCAGGGGAACAGTTGACTTGCTGCCCACAAAGACTGTCCGGAAATCATTTGTTGGACTTCAGGTGAAGGGCCAAGAGCCTACGTGCCACAAGACCTTCAATGACAGCCTTGCGTGGACCTACAAGGTATTCAACGTGCCCAAAACCCGTACCAAAAGGCCCCGAATGGAGAGAGAGAGAGAGACAGAGAGAGTACAAGGCACATAGGGATTTTGAAAGTTTCTTAGACTGGAAATGCACCCTCAATGTAAAAGCTGTGTCTGGTTAAGCTACTAATAAGGGCTAGGTTCCGCATACTGCGAGTTCAGCGTTTAGGGTTGCCACATACTTCAGTTTATGGGCGGCCGTATTTCGCAAGTATACTCTCTTGGGCAGGGCAATCTAACGGCCTCAACTGTGCATAATGCCTAAATCCTAAACCCTGCGTCCCATTACTGTTAAAGAAGTTCCCATATCTATACCTGCCCGAGTAGCTTGGCAAAATTTCTATTGCAGCTGCTTCGTGGGAAGTCAGCAAATTTCAGGATCCTCTAATTCAACTCTCCGCAGGTAATGCGGGAATGAATACTTATATCATGTCGTCTCCGCTAGTGATCCGTAAGCCATTGCCTACTCAGCACCACGTAGCACCGAGGGAGTAAGGCAGACAATGACTTGAAAAAACATCCAGGTAAGATCTGGGGTTTGGGTTCTTCAGGTTTTGGAGCCTGCTTAAGATCGTTTCTGTTTCTTCTCTTGCTCTTGGGGCTTCCGAAAACTGCATGTGGGCCCATTTCAGGCGGGCACTCCTAATACAAGCTGCATAAGGACTATTATCATGATGATGATGATGATGGTGATGATGCTGGTGGTGCCCCACTTCTACGGCCCTGGAACAAGGTCCAAAATCCGGATATGACTTTGGGGCAGGGGAATATTTTGGACCTGGATACCACCACAGGTTTAGGGTCTCATAGCAAGACCCTGGTGGCTAAACCTAAGCTCTACAACAGAGTCAGAGTACGCAAGGTTTTGGCAGCTTTTAAATTCTCGTCTCAAAGCCCTCATACGTACAACACCCCTGCCCGTGTTATCAAGTACTCGCCATTCATAAGAGACGCCCATCCCTGCTGGTAACGCGCAGTAATGAATGTACCAAAAAAAACCTGAGTGGGGAGTATCTAATCATGAAAACGTCGTGCAGTGGTTTTATAATCGGGTAGGAGATTAGCCCCTAAATCCTAGACCAACCCTGAAGCCTCAAAACCCTAGGAGCTCTTGTTAGCCCACCCATCTAAACTGGGAACTTTGCTATAATCGTATGATAGTTACCGTCCTTTTACAGTCGCTGAGGTTCCTAAAAACCCTTTTATTATCCTGTGGCAATATACTTACTGGTTCTTAATGGGGGATTAGGGAATATAATCCCCATATAGGTATATTCCCTTGTTCCCTACTAACCCCTAGACCCCCCCAACCATAAACCCTAAACCCTAAGCACCCAACCCTACGCCCTAAGCCGTAAACCCTAAACCCTATGCCCTCTACCCTGACCCCTAAACCCCAAAAGTGAGTACAGCGCGCTGGCTTGCTAAGCCTCACCTCTGGAGCCTTCTCGGATTCCGCAGAGGCAGCTTTGTCGTCAGCTGCCTGCCAAAGGAGTTGATCCCAATTCACGTGGGTAGTTCCCCAAATAAGGGTCCCACTTTGGTACCCCTGTAAACATTAGGTGCACATCCTTAAGACTAAGCCGGCTTCAGAACCCCACTTTGTTGTTAGGATGAACTCAAAAACTGAAACTTTATAGAAGAGGGACCACAGTAAGTCCGCTCTTATCTGCTTCCAGGGTCGCTTACGCTGACCCTTGTTCTGAAATCGGAGCGTTCGGATTCCCGCATTCTGGAGGGTTTTCGTAGGGCTCTGTAGGGATTATGGGGCCGTCTAGCGGCTCGCTGAAGGCGTTTACAAAAGACTTGTTGGTTGGCATACACTAATTGGCGATTTCTTGGAGGTGCGTGCCAACCTCACAAAAAGGTCTCTAAGTGAAGTTCTAGTACAGAAGATGTATCACTACATTCCACATAAACAGCCCACTTGCTTGCGCGATTACCGTGTAAGGGTGTCAAGATCTTCGGGTCCATATGCCAAGAGCCACATGTGAATATATGTTCCTCAGCTTAAAAAACACTAGGAAGTCACAAGGCACAAGGCCCCAGGTACACAAGAATCGGGCGCTTGGATTATGGAAGCCCAAGCAACCACGCCGTAAGAAGGAGCCTGACCCAGCCTTTCATCAACCAAGCCAAAGGACGAAAGCCTTGAGGAAAACAGTGTAATCCTCGGCCCAAAAGCAGGAAAACAAACCAGAAAGCTTATATATTCCAAGTGCTAAGCCAGCCGTATCCTCCAGCTCCGAACCAACAAGTTTGATTTTTTTGAGCCCAAGCACAACTCGCTTCTTGGTGCTATTAATTGGGAATGAGTAGGGGCATTTAGGGTTGCAGGAACTATGGTAAGGGATCCTGGAAGGACTGTTACAAGGGCTCCCCTCCCTCTTTCCTCGCAAAACCGCAGGTAGTTGTCACGCCTTCAGATCTCGACTTCTCGAAGTCTTGCTACGCAGATGACACTCCCAATAAACTCCTTGTAGCGTGCCTCTACCGCACCTGAGTAGCACAAGCCTGCCTCCGTGTAGAATCATCTTCAGTTGAAGACACCCTTTGATCCTCACAACATTATTCCAGCAGCTTTGCCGCGAAAGACCTGAGACTTGATGCCAAGACCTGAAGCCTCGGTATCACAAACCAACTGCATTGAAATACATAGGAATTCCTGCTTTCCTGATTCAAAGAGTGGACGCTTCTGGGAACAAAACTCGCCCTGGGGACCACCCCGGAGTCCCAGAGGTTTGCATCCGAAGCAGTCGACAACAAAAAGGAGACATAGTAGCAAGTCAGTACACAAAATTGGTACCTGGAGCTCCTACTTTGTCCAGTTTCCTGGGGAAATTGTAAGTCAACCTCTGGAGTTTGTTCAAGGATCATTGTCAGTATGCAGCTCGAAACTTTGGCAGCTGCCTTTGCAGTGCTCTTTGAGATCTTAACCTGGCCTTGTGTGTAAGATTTACGGTGTAGCGTGTAGGCTTTATACGGTCGAGGTTTCAAGGTTTAAGGTAACCTTTCAACCCTAAAAGTTGTTCTGAGGTACCCTATACTGTAGTGATAATCGTGATGCCATGGATCCGGGATCACAGTATTGGAAATGAGTAGGCTTCTACATTACCCTAATCTCTACACCCGAACGCCTAAACCTAGCGAAACGTATACCAGAAATTCCACCTAGACTCCCTACAACTTTGAAAGTACCTATATGCAGCCCAAATATCCACACATGGGACCTACATAGACCTTACTTAAGGGTAGCGGGAGAATGGTACACACGTAAGCCTCACCCGAAGGCCTAAACCCTGAACCCTGAGACCCACGCCCTACACCCTAAACCCAAAGCTCTAAGCCTAAAATCCTGAACCCTAAACCATCCCAAACCCAAGCCCCAAACCCCAAGCCCTTAACCCAAATCAATCACCCTAACCCCTAAACCAAATCTGCCTGGTGCCCTAAACCCTGCACCCTATAGTCCCTCTTAAGTAGATAGAATATGGCTTGGGGTACATTATAAGAAGATAAACATGTACCCCGTATTCTATCTACTTAAGGGGGACTATAACCCCAATCTATACCCTATTATAATATAGTAGTTTCCATCTTCCCTTCCATTATCCCAATAGAACCCCAATAATACACCCTATATTCTATCTACTAAGCCCTGCACCGTTAGCCCTTAACCCAAATCCCTAAACCCTCCGGGCCTCCCCCTGGGTATCCTCTGACTCGGGTTCAGTGGACTCAGCCTGCGAGTCTTCCTCCGGGGCCTTGCCTTCCTTAGTTTCTTCAGGTTTATCTGAGGGTTTTGGGTTTAGGGTTCGGAGTTTGGGGATTTAGGATTTAGGGGCTTAGGGTTCGGGGTTTAGGGATTTAGGGATTTAGGATTCTAGGACTTAGGGGCTTAGGGTTCGGAGGTTAGGGCTTGAGGGTTTAGGGGTGCTAGGATTAAGTTGTTTTAGGATGTTGGGTTTATGGTCTCCTTTGGAAGTATACATTGCTTATTACAAATCCCTTTTAGAAGCCATAACAAACCCCGGAAGGAACTACATGTTGAGCTACACAGGCGCCTCCACCCAGAGCAAGGAAGTTTGGTTTTGAAGATTTGGATTCGAGGCTTCCCAACCAGGATGGAGGATTCTTTTCGGGATCAACTTTAGGGCTTGGGGCAAAAGGGTTTTGGGGTGAAATTGGGGTAAGATTAGGGTTATATTGGGGTTATATTGGGATCATGTACTATCTAGGGTTCAGGGTTTAGCGTTCCAGTCCCCCTTAAGTAGATAGAATATGGGGTATATGGGGAACTTCTTATAATGTACCCAAAGCCATATTCTGTCTCTTAAGGGGGACTATGGGGAGGCAGGTTGTCAGACACTAGTGTTTTGTATACTAGCAACTATATAGTCTAAACTCCTTAAAGGGGGTTATATGGGGGATTATATAGGGGACTACTATAGGGCTTATTAAGGGGGATACTAGGAGTTTAGATAGTGGCTCATATGGGGATATGGGTAATATCTTATCCAACCCAGGGATTGGTCGCCCTTCCTGTCCAGACTGCCCGATACCCTCAATTAAGGATTATACATCAAATCATATAAGGGACCCTAGTACCATTTATGGTGTCTGCCTTTTTTGAGGGCTATTGGGCTCTCAGCTCGATTCATTCCTATTCCCTTGAAGTGCGATGATTGCTTAAAGTTCACAGCTAACACGAGAAAGCCAGAAAACAACGAGGAAATGAGACACCAGTCCGGAGGACAGCTTAACCTGCCGGGGGAAATCGGAGAAAAAGCTCGTTTCTTCGATGCTAGTCGGGTCTCCTCCCCTTTGTCCTCCTCTTCCGGCTTCTCCTCGTCTGAAGAATCCTCTCAGGGGACCGCTAGGAATTGATAGGACTATGGGGATCTTTCTTAAAAGGTGGTAAAAGTATTTTGAGAAGCTTTAATTCTGGCGGGGCACGTGCAGGAAGGCTCAGGTTTCAGAGTTAAAGGCACGCGGCAAGGACATGTCAGTGCTCTTGGAACTGTGCCTGTTACAGGCATACAAAAGCCCCAGGAAGCGGCTTCCAGCGATCACCAACTTGGGTTTCTTTGACTATACTTGGAGGGTCATGGGGACTTAGTAAGTAGGTTAATAACCCCTATAAGCCATATAATAACCCCAATTATCCCCATTATTAACCCATTTACTAAGTTCCCATGACCCTCCAAGTAGGGACCTTGTGGTACCTTGTCTGTAGGTCTCCCTACTCGCAGGTCCAGGGAAGCTATAACTGAATATCAACAGGTACTTATCATCTATACTCAGACGTGGGACTTAGGAGGCTCATGTTTTACTGGGTTTTGAAGTTAGAGCTGCAATGACAAGCTTGCTATCATTACCTGAACCTTCAAGTATCCCCTAAATCCTAAAGCTAAAGCCTAAACCCTAACCCTAAAGATGCCCCACCTCAGGGTCAGTGGC